ATGTGTTGATGTGTGCAGGGTTTAAAAAGCTAAAAAAAAAAGAAAATAATGGACAATTGTGACTGAGGACTTTTTTTAAAGAGCTTCTTTAGAAGAAGGACTTTAGAAGAGCTTCGGGTTTACATTAAAATCATTCTATATTTAACATGTAGAAGCTTCTAAGAAATGTTGCACTTTATGATCAACATGGCTGAGTTTCAATTAACTTTAAAGATTTAAGCTTTTGTGTTATAGTGCCACCATCAGGATCACTGTGTGATGATTTGTGCATGGAAGGAACATTTATTTTGAAAGAAAAACATTGGACAAAGACATTACAAAACAAACAGGTTGCTCAATAGAAGAAACATTTGAACCGAAACATAAAAAGTAGGTCTGTTTAGGCCGATTTAAGCCCATTTCCTGTCCTGTGCATCAGGTTGGGCCTGTTCAACAGACCCTGAGCATAAATCCTATTTAAATAGGGTAAAGGTGACACAGATTTTACATTCTAGTCTAATCCAGCTCAGTGAAAAACAAACCCACCCACCCATCCAGACAGGGAGCTCAAACACACTGATACCTGCATAGATCTGCCCACTACCCTTTCATCTGACAAGTCAGAGGTGAGATCTCAGAAATATAGTCACTATACCTTCATCTCCTGGAGTAACATCAATATAAAACATCAATTTACACTCATTCTTCCATTGCGCTGCCACAATGTTATCATTCTCAGGTGACTTGACTAAATAATGACTTGTTTGTGTTTTGCTGTTGTTCAAAGGCAAGTGGATAATCTTTTTGCTTTTAATTAATTCAGCGGAAAGTAACAATACCATAACATTTACACAATGGTATTGTCAAGTTGTGGAGTTGTCTTGTGATCCTCGGGCAGCTGAGCTGTAACTGCTCTTCGGATGATTAAACAGAGATGTGGTCAAAAACAGCTTTGGAAGTTGTTGTTCTCCCTCAGAAAATAATCTGTAATTGAGAATGTTGGTGCTGGCCTGGTGACCCAGTATTTACCTGAACTCACTTCACTTCATCAGGAAGAATTTTAATAGAAACATGAAATAATGTATGTCAGTTGAAGGCTGTCTCTGTTAAATGTAAAGAAGTGTAAATTCATGTTCAGTTTAATTTTGAAAATGAACTATATATATTAACTAATTAGTTTTTACAACCTTTAATGTTATTAATGACCTGCTTGGAATCAGCCTATATCATTTAAATGAGACATGACCCACAAAATACTGCGACTGCATTTCAATTAAGAGTTATTGTCAGTTTCTTTCGATAGAGGCACAGTACTTAGGTATTTTAATTTGTTTTGACAGTTTCTCACTAAGACATTTTTTTCCTTAAGAAGCTGCTGTGAGCTGACCTATTAATTGGTATGCTTGAATCCTGTTTTTGTAAAGGCAGTTGTGCTAACAAGATCAGCCACTCAAGTCTGTACACGCAATGTTATAAACGTGTAGCTACATAACATCAAAAGTTATTTTTATTCTGACACCAATTAGTTAATGAATACAGTTACTGTCCCTGGATGGGATTGATCAGGTACAGGAAGACTATTTTTATTCTGATTTGAGTCGGTGGTTTTATTAGCCACTAAAGTCCATTTAAAATGTCTCAAGATAGATAGATAGATAGATAGATAGATAGATAGATAGATAGATAGATAGATAGATAGATGTGCATGATTTTTCTTGCGGAAATTGTTATTATTATTATTATTATTATTATTAATTTCGTTTTATTTTTATATACATAATAGTTGTTGGAAGAGCAACACTCCTATGTTGTACGCATTGACTGAGAGCTCAAAATGATCCAGTGTGGACGTGACAGGTTACAGCAGCGGTCTGCGGTCTAATGGAGTAAAACGGGTTTCTCTCACTGACGCTCTGGCCCCATCCAAGGATAAACAAGGAGAACTGGGTCTTCTGTAGCAAGATGGCCGCCCATTCACTTTGCTTGTTAATGCATCTTTCGGGACAGCAGTTAACAAATCCAGGGATGAAGAGCCGTTTTCATTGGCTGAGAATACGTAGCCTACGTCAAACGTACGTACACTGTAGTGTACTGTACCAACCTCCAAGATGATATGTTCAGGGGCAGACAACGTGTACTGCCAAAGGATATCTCCATCATTCTCCCAGTTACCCCATGTGAATGAATTCTATTTACATGTTTTTTTTAAAGCTAAGTTTTATCTGACAATCAAATGTACTTTTATTGATCCCCTGTTGCGGAAATTCAAATTTGACACAGCAGCGCAAAAGAGTGGCAGTGCAAGGGGAAAATGTAATAAGAAATAAAAGAAGAATAGAACCAAAATCTAAAATAAATAAGATAATATAGAGATACTATATACAATAATAATATACAATACAATGTTGTTCTGTATGCTACATGTGCAGTATAAAGATAAAAAATAAAGTGGTTGTGCAGTTTGTCCCAATTCTATAGTAATTCTGTTGTAATAGATAACAGTGCAAATTTAGTTGAAAAACTTTAGAGTATTAAAAAAGTTAAAAAGTGAGGGACAGAGCGGCTGTGTTGAGCTGCCATTCACTCTCTGGAAGGTTTAACAATTTCTTAGAAATTCTTCAGCTGTTTCTTTATCATGTGATTGTGATGTGAAAGTGCAGAGGCGAAGCTGATCTCATGGGAAAGCAACAGATAGAATTATTAGTCAGTTTTCAAGGGGAAAGTCTTGGCTAGTATGCTACTGAGTAAAGAAGATACAGGAACAAACCAACAACATAGCCCAACAGACCCTAATCCCTGAACTCTCTCGGCCCAAACGTTTCCAAAGAACTGATGGTCACGCCACATATTGTTTTCGTCCCATTCTCTTGGACACGATATCTCAGTAATACCATGACGGAATTTCTTCAAACGTTGAAAAAAAGTTCACCTGGACCCAAGGACGAATTGATTAGATTTTGGTAGCTTAAGGTCAAAGGTCAAGGTCATTGGGACCTCACTAAACATGATTTTGGCCTTGTGAAGGCAATATCTTGAGAACTAATTTGGCACAAATGTTCACCTGGACCCAAGGATGAACTGGTTAGATTTTGGTTGTCAAAGGTCAAAAGTCAAAATCAGGGTGACCTCACGAAACACTTTTTAGCCATTACTCAAGACTTCACATGGCAATTATGACAAATATTCACACAAATGGTTCATATTTTATATGATTCTGGGGAAGTAACCTGAAACTAGTCTGTGTGGTGAAGGCAGACAACCGCCAGGCGGTAATTCTGGTTTATTGTTGAAATGACAAAAATGACAAATATAAGATGACAGATGCTAACAGATAACATATTAGTGAAATAGTGTGACAAAAAAACAAGCAAACAAACGTACACATAAGGTGACACAGAGGACAAGTGCTAACATATAAGATCAACAATAGGCGAGCATACGGACAATACTATGAAGCTGATATTCTGTGTGTGTGTGTGTGTGTGTGTGTGTGTGTGTGTGTGTGTGTGTGTGCGTGCGTGCGTGCATTTGTGTGCGTGTGCGCGTGTGTGGGCAAACCAGGCCACTGCACAAGGCAAGTGACATGATCCCCCACCCGGCCCCCCGGCAATGTGCGCAGAGGCCTCAGCAGGGGACAGTCAGGACAGGTCAGTGCAGGACCACCCTGCAGTTGTGTGAAGTTGTGTGTGCATGCATGTGTGTATGACGACAGGAAAGTACAGTGTAATATGAATTTAAATTGATGTGTATGAGGTTGGGTCAGAAGAAAAGATTGTGTGTCGGTTTGTTTGGGTGTGTGTGTGAGTCTGAGTATGATTGCAGGTGCTATGCATGTACTATGAATTGAAGTTTGTGTGTGAGGTAGTTAATTAAGAAAAAATTTAATAAAATTAGAAATAAATAAGTAAATATCGGTCAATATTGGTCACGCCACATTAACATCAACACACTCAATCTGTATAGGCTGATGTGACCCAGCCGAAACAAATGTCCCTGCCAAAGTATTATTGACTCTTACACATCGGTAAACATTTCCAACCAGATGTTTTCCTATCAAAATGTACTTCCAACCATAACTAATGAGGAAATCAGTACATGATGAAAACACATAATCATAATGTTCCCCCATGTTAGTAAAAAAATAGATCACCTAATGTGGTCTGCACCTCATGTAGTCTATGTTCTTTTGCTGTTGTGGATTGCAATATATGAGGTGTTTGTCTCTTTGTCAGTTTTTTTTCAGTCAAAATATTATATTATTGTAATATTAGAAAAATACTTGCAAACATGAAGATGGACATTTTTTTCAAGGAAGTGGAATTGAAACTGGGGAACTGAAACTGAAACTCTTTCTTCTGACAAAATAAAGCCATAGCAAACAAAAGAAAGGAAAAAATCCTTGTAATGACACAATGGAAAATAATACCAACCAAATTTGTTACATATAATAATAAAATATGTACATAAGAAGGAATGGACTAATTCCGAGCCTGTAAATGTTTCAGTATTGATTTCATTGGATAAGACATCACAATTAGTGGCGATTAACAGACGAGTCACTTTCACCAAGTCGTTTCTCGGAATTACGAGTTTACGAGGAGGTCGTGAAGTGCTCCCATGTCTGCGCACTGATGTAGCTAGCTGTGTGTGTGTGTGTGTGTGTGTGTCTGTGTGTGTGTGTGTCTGTGTGTGTGTGGTGCACAGTAAGTGGGAGGAGGAAACACTGCTGAGCCGAAAGCCGCTGACATGAAGGACAGATAGGAGCGGCCGCAGAACTGAACCTCCGCATCTGTCCTCCCGCCGGACGGTCGCGATGGATTTCGTGCTGAGCGGAGTGGCGGCGTGCGGAGCGTGTCTGTTCACCAACCCGCTGGAGGTTGTCAAAACGCGAATGCAGCTGCAGGGAGAGCTCCAGAGCCGGGGCACTTACCAGGTTTATTATCGCAACGTGTTCCACGCTTTTTACACCATCGGTAAAGTGGACGGACTGGCAGGCTTACAGAAAGGACTGGCGCCCGGGCTGGTTTATCAGTTTTTTATGAATGGAGTCAGACTCGGCTCGTACGCCATCATTGAGTCCTCTGGTTACATCCACACCAATGGAAGGGTCAGCGCGCTAAAAACCACGTTAGCAGGGGCTGTGGCTGGAGTGGTGGGGGCCGTGATGGGCAGTCCTGTATACTTGGTCAGTAGCAGATTTTTTCTTAGGCTGAGCAGGGTTGACTTCATTTTTTTGCATTGTTACTTTAGGTGTGACATTTCAAGGTGAGCTGTCAACTGTGGAGAGAAGTAAACACAAATTGTCTCCACTGACAGGTCAAGACTCATCTGCAGAGTCAGTCTACGTCCTCTATTGCGGTTGGACATCAGTATAAACACCAGGTAACACAATAACCAAGACTGGAGGTCTTATGAGTGACAGGCATCGTCACTTTACTCATGTGTGCCTCCTCTTCCTGCCAGGGGATGATCCACGCTCTGGCAGCCATCTACAGGGAGCATGGCATTCTGGGACTGTGGAGGGGCTCCAGTGCTGCTGTACCGAGGGTCAGCGTGGGGTCAGCTGCTCAGCTCTCCACCTTCTCCTCCTCCAAGGAGCTTGTGATTGACCTACAGGTTAGAAAATGGCTAGCTGAGGTGATCTTGACATAGAAGTCATCTAAATTCAGTGGTGATGATTAGGAACAGGCTGACTGGAGGAATGGTGACTTCACCATGGGTGCATGTCTTTGGTATGAGCTCACTGTTCAAGAATAAACAACTGTTTTGGGGAGATGTTGACTTTACTCATTGCTTAACTTAGATAAAGTCATTATGATTATAATTACATTCAAAGCAAAAAGGCCAAAAAATTAACAGGTTATAGCTTCTAAAATCCGCTTTTGTCTCATATGATAGTAAACTGAATCTGTTATCTGTTGGTCGGATAAAACAAACAGTTTGAAGTCATCACATTTGGCTCCTGGCATTTCTCAATGTTTGCAGATGTTATCAAGTCTAGACTGGCCAAAACTCTCTCTGTTTAAGAGTTAACTGAGGAAATAATTAGTAGATTCACTGATCATAGAATAATCAATAGTTACAGCCCTAAACTCAGAGGCAAGGGCTTGAGAAGAGACAAATTGTGGTCTGTAGCTGTGTACAGATTACAAAAGCTGTCATTGTGGCACTGACAAAGAGCTCGGCATTGCACTCTTCTGGAATAGAAATTGGACACCTTTCATTGCCCCCACCCGCCTGAAAACATGAGGCTTACACAACTAGTGAACCAGTTCACTGGGAGCAAGTGGCTGCTGATCCAGCCTCTACTTAAAAAAAAGGTATTTTATACTATATGCCAGGACCACATTGATCAACAGTGTTGTATTAATTTGACCATTCTGCAGAACTGAATCTTAAACACCGTGTGCAGTTTACTTGCACTACTTACTTAATTTCCCAAACTTCCTTTGAGCTGTTTTAAGTGGTTGGTGGGTGCTTGAGTGAGGGTGGAGGTGGGGTGTGTTCATTGCAGCATGAGCTGCAAGTCAAAGACCTCCAAAGAGGTAATACTTGTTCAGCTGGTGCTGATTCTTAAAAAGGCTCAACACAAAGTTCCTCTTCTGTTCAAACTAAAGTTTTCTTTTGTATTATCTTGTGTTGTAAAACTGTAGCTGTAGACTGTAGCTACTGGAGTGTGTGTGTGTGTGTGTGTGTGTGTGTGTGTGTGTGTGTGTGTGTGTGTGTGTGTGTGTGTGTGTGTGTGCAATATAGCCACTAAAAATAGAGCCATTCTTCCATTCAGCTGAATGTGGGAGATCATGACCAGTTCAAATTAGAAGTGCCTGCACACTTGGTGGTACCCTGATGATCATATACTGGTCTAGCATCACTGCGCTGGTGTGAGGGGTGTGCTATGTCCTGTCATTTCTCACTTGCATCATACTGTTACCTGAATGTGTGTTCCCAGTCCTCCTGTTTGAGGTTGTTGCCTAATAATATTGTAATGTTATTTCTCCAAGGTTTTCGCAAAGGACAGCTGGTTGGTGGCTCTGAGCGCTGGCATGATCAGCAGTGTGGTTGTGGTGTTGGCCATGACACCTTTTGATGTGGTGAGCACACGGCTCTACAACCAGCCTGTGGACCAGTTGGGCAAGGTTAGGAGACAGACTAATATGTTGAAGTTATGATTCCTAAGATTTTCATAACATCCATGCATGGCTTTTTTTTTTTTTTCATTTTTTCAGCAATAGCCATTCAACTTACTTATGCAGTATTCTGTTATTGCCTCTATATGGCCCATTTCATTGTAACTGCTAGGGTCTGCCTTTCCTATGTAAGATATTTTAGTACCAACCATAGACTGTATATAAAGATGGACGTAGCCTCAGTGACGTCATCCGTAGGTTTCTGGAGAGCGGTTTTAAAGATCAGAGTCAGCTTCTCCTCCGTCGCCATCTTGGCCGTGCCTGACTGCCTAACTCCCGGGCTAATGCATGGCTTGGTAAATAAGTGTGTGTGTGTGTGTTTTTGGAGTGGGGGGGGGGGGCTCACCCACCTGTCACTCAAAGCGATACGCCCTTAATTATGAGACTTAACACTTGAGAAAATGTAAATGGGTGAGTTATACCCCCCCTGCTGTAAAGTTGGGCGTTTTAACATGCGAGTTTATGGGGACTGAGTCGCTTTTGGAGCCAGTCTCAAGTGGCCACTTGAGGAACTGCAGTTTGTCACTTCCGCATTGGCTTCATTTTCAGCCCTGGAGGTTATCGATTGGTACCAATGCACAATGTAGCCTTGAGACTAGCAGCTCAAGGCTACTTTAGCTGCTACTACTTCAACACACCCGAATCTCTGATCAAATGGTTGGTGGTCAAGTTGCATTGTGGATGATGTAGGCATCAGATTTTGACAGGGAAGACAAATGCCTGGAATAAAAGTCTGTGATGATGTCTACGGTTCTGCTGCATCGATTTTGATATATTTTTTCATGTCCTCTGTGAGTCTAACAGTTTAATGTACGTGCAGTGCTAAATTGGTGGAGTACTGGTTTATAACTGATATAGAAGGTAGTAACTGGTCACAAAGGGGAGCTCAAACACTCATCACATCCAGCTGGGACATTCGGCTGACTGTCATTTTCTTGTCTTTAAGGGGCAGCTTTATAAAGGATTCACTGACTGCTTCTCCAAGACGCTGAGGAAGGAGGGCTTGACAGGACTTTACAAAGGCTTGGGAGCCTCTTATTTCCGGCTCGGTCCACATACCATTCTGTCTTTGTTCTTCTGGGATGAACTGCGCAAACTGTACCAGCAGTACAGATAACACCAGGGACGAGGAGACTGGGAAATGGGTAACTCATTAAGCTCTGAGTGCATAGGTTAAATGAGTCCTCATTTAATGAGTTCACTATTATGAGGTAAAAGAAAAACCAGGAGCTGCTCTCCTTTCTTCACAGGAAAGGTAAAGAGCAAAGGTAACATTTTACACTCCAATAAGAAAACAGATTAGTACAGTCAAAATGCATCAGGAAGCAGGGTGAAAATGTCAAAACTGCAGTCAAGAGCGCTGAACAGTTCTGTCTGACAGATATCATAAACACACTTGGATTAGTCTTGGTAACAACCAGTATGTGCTCAGATATGATGATCTACTCATTAGACCTCACCTACTAACATAGGTAATAGTCTAAACCAGTATATTCAAAGGGAAACAAGATATTTTGGCATGGTGATAAAATCTCATCAGACAAGCGTAGGAAAGAAGCACTGATGAAAATGTGCCAGTAACACAAAAGACATACATCAGCCTTGTATTGGAAGGAAGTGATGCAGACTATAACATCGCAACAGAATGAAGGATTCTGTGGGTGAGGGATTTCCTGTAAGCAACTTTGCCTTCAAGTTAACAAGTGTTGTTAAAGTCAAAGAGGACCTGCTGATCAGTGACCCACTGGTGAGCCCATCAGTACAAACTAGGGATCAACTGATATAGTTTTTTCAGGGCCGATACCGATTATTGGTAATCAAGGAGACCATATTTGGAACCGATACGCCAACACAAAACTACTGCTGTATAAGGACACTCACCGTGTCGTCCAGGTGTTTCTATTATGTTGTCCACCCCATTTATATCAGTGAAAGTAGGCTTAATAACAGAAACACCTCTGTATAATGTAATACAGCTACACACACTACATCCTCCATAATGATCATACAGCTGAATCAACAACGGTCTAAAACTATTTTATTACAAACTGAACATGATAACCTTCATGAAGGAGGATTTACTGCAGGACTGCTGTATTGCTCAGTTTTAGGTAGATGTTCCTAATAAACTAAGATGTTTCCCCCTTCCCCCTTTTAAAAAAATGATCTGAGAACATTTTTACACAGTAATTTTACTTCTAATGTAGTAAAATGTCTTTTCAGTAAGAGTAGTTAGTGATCGGTGATCGGTTATCGGTTTTTAAAAAAAAGAAAATTAAATAAACAATACAAATTATCGGAAAATGCTGATTTTACCACCGATAATCGGTCAGGCCGATAATTGGTTGATCCCTAGTACAAACTCTTGTAAAACAAACAAAATTTGTTCAAACCCGCAGAACTTTATTTTAAGTTCAAGTGGCGATCCTGAAGTTTCAACAGATACCAAACTTGTCATTTGGAGAAATGTCAATAAAATAAGGCCTTAAGTTTCAATCTTTTATTTGGTATAAACAAGTAAAACTGTAAACCCGTAATAAAATTGCATTTTACAACTCCTAGTGGATGCACCTCACCTTAACCAGAATCCCTGAGAGGTTTCGTTTGTGACAGTGAGTACCTTAGAGGCTACACTACACTACCTTACACATTGTTAGGTTTGTTCAAAATTTTTAAATCAAGTTCTCTTAACTACAGAATCTCTTTTGAGTTGATACATAATGTCTGTTTCTTTTTATATCATACATTACTGTTAAACAATTAACTATGGGAACTGTTAGAAATAAAAGAAACTAAATTAGTTGACTTTAAGTCAATGTATGTTAGTTTATTGTCTCTGTTCTACAAGGCGTTATCATACTAATTACTTTTCTCTTACTCAGCTGTATTTAAACACACTGTGTTTGACCTTCAGGGTCATACCAGGAGCAGCTTGTCAGTGCTGTGTGACAAGTTTTTCCTGTTGCAAAATTTTCAAATTCGCTCATTCATTTACAGTTAAAAAATCTAAATGCTTATAGTATGTATTTCAACAAACTTGCTTCCTATTCCACAAATAATATTACTTTTAAGGTGCTTTTTAGGTGACTGTCAAGGGTTGCCAGATCCTCTCTCAAGATCAACAAAACATTCAATTAAGAGTTTCCATCAGTTAGGAAATGTATTTTTAAAATAAATAAATCTGCAGCTAAATTACATTGTGATTTGCTAGTTATAAAATGGTTTGCCTTAATCATTTATCAAAAATAAAATTCTGATTTATGGGATACTACTATGACATAAATGTGCATGACAATGCCACCAGTCATACATACTTTCAAACAGTTTGTTCATTAGAATTGTCACACATTATTAATCATATGTCTGTGCGTTATGGCCTTTGAAGTACTGAAGTACTTTTGTTCAAGACAGAGGATTACTGAATTATCATTGATGCTCTTAAAATATGCAGGTATTGACATAAATGAAGACATGGTCTTCACCAGATTATTCACTTTTCTTCTGGGTTGGATAAGTTAGCATTAACATCATGCACATACAGTAAATGCACATCCTCCAGGTCAGCATGAGCATAACATGGCAGTACAGGTTCACAGCCACAGTTAAGAGTCCATTTTTCCTCACAGTTTGAGAAGTTCCCCTGACTCCAGCAGCTCACGGTCTTTCATTGCAAAAATATCAGACCATTTGCTGCACCAGTGCGCAGTTACTGACCCGTTCTGTGAGGCCTGTACCGTTAAGCCCACTAGTCAGATTGCCATGAGTGGACACTGTTGGTAACACAAACTGCTCCATAATGTGTGAGACAGACTGGGTGCTTTTTTCATGATGTGAACAATTCTTTGCAAAGTGTCAAGAATTTAATAACACGTTATTAGTTATTAGTGATTTGCAATGGTGGCTGGACACATTTTGACATGGCAGCACAATGTGATTGTCATGACACATACAGTAATAAATGCACTGTAGCTAGTAGGACACATCTGTCAACCCAATTTAGGTAACAGAAGAGAGGAGACTAATGTTATCTGAGTTTATTTTGTATCATTAAGTTAAAGCTTTGGTCTTATATAAAGAATGTTCCTTCGGTAAGGGTTGCCATTTTTATTCTTGTCAAGTAACTTTGTCTTCTCAATGTAACAACACTGTACATGTATTACAAACACTATATATGGTTCGTTATGGAGTTTTCGTATGTCTGGATTTCCCTGTAAATTTAATCCAAATGAACAAGGACACTACAGAAGTATCAGCTGTACTCTAGATTTCATACACTGACAGGACAATTATAATGAATAAGGTAAATCAGACTATAATAGTTTTTCCTAGACCACATTATTGGACTATTAAATTTGTCTTTGAAATAATAGCTCAAGAAATCCTGACCAGAAATGTTTCCTGTCAAACAAATTTTGTGCCAAACGTTGTGCCATTTTTTTTAGTTCACACCAAGCCAGCTGAACAATGTTTGGTGGTTCAGACACCAAAAAGTACTAAAATCACAAAACTAAACTAGCTGGTGACTCATTCAAAGAAAAACCACTATTTTTTTTTGTTTTAAGCAGTAATTGGCCTTTCTAGCCAACTACTGGCCAGGAAGACTCCTCAGTCAGATTTTATTAAAGGGTGAAAGACATCAACAATTCTGCCAGATTCTTAACATGGTATGCTGCCTACTAACTTAGCCATGCCATTATGATGAAGGTATTTTTGTTAAGGTAATTTGTTCTGTGAATGGAATGGAAACTAATTACTAAATTACTTAATGCTGAATATGGTTTTGGTACTCTTGTTTGGAAATTGCTCGACTCTGTTGCTGATGGTTCCAGTGTAAATTATCTGATCACTTATGTACTATATCATTAAACACGCGGACAGACGTCCTCTGAGTTGAGCAGGATGAGTGAATGTTACATGCAGTATCTTGATAATGTTTCTTGAATGTGTAACAAAATGCATTTCCTATAATGGGCAGACAACATTTCTGTGTAATGGACATGGAGAGCAAATAAATGATCAGGCTTTGTGGTGATGGACATTGTGGTGTTACTTTCCTTGTTTTTCATGGGCTGAAAATAAAAAGCTAATGTTCTATCATGTTATACTCAGCCTGTACTAATAGTTCTTTGCACTATTTTAATTATACTTATACTTTATACAGCTGAGCAGTGGGTGACTTGAGGTTCATCAGATTTCTAAGGATTAGATTAACCTTCCCACCACTACCATCAAAATTAACCAATGAATTTCCCCTCCAGCTGATGCAATTAGAGAACAGAAAGTGCAGCACTCTGTGCTTTCACACACATTATGCATTTATCATGTGACACAATGTTAAGTTCATCATTTTGACTGACAGATTGTGTTTAGCATATACAGAATAATTGGAAAGGGACTAATTACTTTGGAAACAGAGAAGGTAAAAATAGGGTAGTTAGGGTAGGTAACAGGACTACTGATCAGAGAGCACTGACCAAACATGACACAAGAACATTAGCAGCTCTGAGCGGCTGTTAGTCACCATGGTGCTTTGAGATAAACGCTAATGTATTAGCTGCTGTACCAGCAGGATAACATGCGTGTTAACCAAGTAAAGGTTTTCCATGTTTGTGTATGCTAACATTTGTTAATCAGCAAAATTTCATTATTCAGCACAATTCATAGTTAACCTTTATTTTAACTTGTATTTTGAGTAATACCTAAAAAGAGACTGACTGTCCTACATTAATTAGCTTGCATGAACCAAAAGTATATAGTTAGATTTTTTTAAATGCTTGGAGCATGTTCTGTGCTAAACTGGGAGTTAAAAAAGCCAGTGCTGTGCTTTGGATAGCTAACAGCGTCATTCAGAAAGTCACCTGTGTGACACTGCAAACATAATAGAAACCTAGGAGGAGGAGAATTTTGTGTAAACCCAGATAACAAACACATTTTCCTGTGCTGAGATAAAGGTGACTGAAGGTGACACTCCTGTTAATTCTGCATGCTTACAAACACCTGGAATCTGTGGCAACAATTTATTTTATTATTAAAGGTTCAGAGACAGTAATTCACAGCATCTTTAAATTTAGTTCACAGTACAGTTCAATAGATGTTTAAGTCAGAAAATCCATCCATAAAATATGAATATAAAACACTACATGTGTTGTTGTATCGGTCAAAACAAACAAGGTTAATGTGTCATTGTGGCACATGTGAAGCCAACGTCACTTGAGTGGGTCTTGGCTACTTGGTTACTGAGCAACACTCGACAGTTTGTTCACAGCGGCTGGAAATACTTGAAGCTCAGAGGCTAGTCCAGGGGCCTCATTCATGAAAGGGTTCTTACATCCAAAAAACTGGTGCTTTAGAAGAAAGTCCTGTACATAGGTAAAAAGTATTATTGTAATCATCAGCTTTGACACGAATTATCAGAGCTATTACACTATTCTTTCACAAAGCTGTCTCTTAATTACCCTCATTGTGACTTCAAGGTTGATAAAGTTCAATCTTACACGGAAGGAAAAATCTGATCAGAGTACTCATCCCTAAAAATACCATCAAACATAAACTTAACCTCCAGCTGCTCCACTGAGCTGCTCAGTAGCAGACATTACAAAGCTGTACTGCTCGTAAAAATGTCTGTGAGTAAGAAAGAGGATGGCTGGTAGTGGGTAGTCATGCTCAGTGAACCTGGAAAACTAATGTTAAAAAGTCTTAATGTGTTGTTTGGTTTTTTTTTTTCGATGAGATGTTTTTAAGTTGCACCACCACCACCACCTCTGAAGCCTGTAGGTGCATTCGAAATGACTCAGACTGGTGAGAGTCTTGTGAAAGTGTTTGAAGACTTGTTTGTGATGGTCAGTCAGTTTGTACTTGGATTGAAAGCAGTTAACTTTCACTTCTGACAATCTTAGTGAACCCAAATTGACAAACTGTACCAGAGCCACCAGGAAACTTTGTATACATCCAAGAACTGAATGTTTTATTTTGACAGTCACCTCCTGTTTCCCCTGAGAGTGAAGTAATTATTAAAATCACTACATGGCTACCATTTGCAATAATAAAAAAAACTGCAGAAATTTGAAAAACTTTGAAACAAAACAAAAACAAAAAAAGTTGAAATAAGAAAATGCATAAACCTATTAAACTGCATGAGGGTGGGAGTTCTCATTTACACAGATACAAAGCTCATAACTTGATCTAAAGTAGATCTGAGCGTAATACACAGACATGTTAGTACATAAAATCACTGTTAACATTTGCTGCTACTTCAGCGCTCTCTGGCACAGAATCACAAACCATTTCTTAAATGACAGAGTGTTCTTGCATAAGATGTGAGTGTTGTTGTCTCCGTTTTCCACCTCTACTCGTTCTTTTTAGTGCTGGTGCTGCTCCTGCAGCAGAGGACCTGGGCCACGAGGACACAGCTGAGACAGGCTGACAGTATGTGTGACAGAGTAGACAATGAGCTTCCTGTTTCCTGTGCACAAAGTTTTACACAATCTCAGTAAATAAAGGCAAACAACTACAGGTTAGAGTGGTGTAAAATATTCAGTTGTGCAGCTGTGTTTATGTTTGTGTATGATTCCTGACCTGTAGAGAAACAAAGACAACACCCAGAGACCCTGCCCACGTCAGTAACACAGACAGAGTGGACAGTTGGCCTGTGTGGCCGTTACGGTAGTTAGTTCCAGCCTGGAGAACCTGAAAACAACAAATCCAACAAATACGTTCACGCTCCTCTGATAAATTTGCATAGTTGCTTCGTGATTCAAGTTCTCAGGTCTTATTAATCACAGAACAGCTCAGAAATGGAGCTGGACAGTTAGTATGAGCCACTGAGTTGCTACCTTGCTTGTAATTAAAGCTGCCAAACTGGAGGCCTGCATCACTGAGACAACTGCTGCAGCTGCATAGGAGCCCAGCAGGAACATTACACCACCGTACGCCGCCAGGAACAGCATTCCTGCCACATGAACATGAAACAGGATAAGAGATGGATAAGACAAAAAAAACATGAGAAAGACTAAAACATTTGTTAACAGAAATGTACACACTGATGATTAAATATCCATCTAAATGGAAAGAGCAATCTATCAACATGCTTTCAGAGGAGTTGTGTAATTTCACTTCCAACAAAAGTTCACTGATAAAGTTTTATGGGGCAGATGGTAACAAACGCCACAGGGTGGCGCTACTGGAGAGCACTGACCAAACATACGACAGTAGAACTGTGTCAATGTCTGTCACATGAAACTCTGCTGTTATCTGATAAAACATTCTCCACAGTCATCGACTGGATGACAGTAGGACACACACAAGCTTTCCATCAGAATCCTTTTACACGTCTGAATTGTCCACATCCAGGATTCTTTTTTTCAATTTCTCAGAAATAATATGATTCATGCAGGATATGAGGATATTCTTGGCCATTCCAAATTACTCAGTTGAATGTTGAAAATACACAAAGGTGGTAAATTATCCCTAGACCTTGTATGGTGGGTGTATGTAAACTTTAAGGTCTGTAATGTTTGATCCACATGATTATTCCTTAATTCCTTAAAATGTCTCACAAATCTGTGCAGAACAAGTCATGAATATTGCCACAATCTTGATTTTTATCTCATTATTAAATATGTTTTTCATCTGTGCTTTGTAAAGACTTTTAACAAAACAGCTTTTAGCGTGTGGTAACTTTTTCTAAATGTAATTTATCATAAACTAGTTTAATCCTTCATGCTTCCTGAATTGAATTACAGTACTACCATGCACCAAAAGGTCTTTGCACAGAGAAAACATTTGTCAGTGCAAGCAGTTTGATGAAAACAAGGCTTGTACATCAAGTGCTCAATAGTAAGTGGTACATTATAACTGTTGCCAAAAAGCATTAGTTATCTGAACCTGTTATCTGAGACCACCCTCGACATAGAAAACATCAAGGGAAGTATTTTTTTCCCGTTGGCCAGGGATCTTTATAGAGGACATTTAAAAACAACAAATGTTGACCTAACTGATTCACTGACAGATGAAATATACGATCTGGTAAATACACAAAAATAATAATGAAAACTGATCTAAGTCAGTCCCACACACACCCTCCTGATACTGTAAATACTCCCTGGAGCACCAAATTCTGTGTTAATCCATCAAAACAAATGCGCTCTTTACTCCTAATTGAGTCATGTTTGCTAAAAACTAAAGTGTACAGCTGTGTTAATAAATTAGTTTTAGCCTTTTTTTTTTTTTTAAATTCAAAGCATATATTTATGAGCTATTTACACCTTTACCTCTTCAGTAGGAACAATGGGGCTGAGAGCAACAAGGAAGTTGAGAGATGGACTAACGCACTGTTGGTTTTGGTCTGGTTTTGGGCTATATATATATATATATATATATATATATATATGTATGTGTGTGTATGTACACCAGCTATATCCAGCTGTATCCTGTCAATATTATTTAAAATGTGCATTTGGAAAATTTGCAGATATGTGTGTTAACCTGTGAAAACATCAGCACGATGATGAAGGATGAGGAACATAATTGTCACTGTCTGCGCCAACGTGAAGAGCCTCTCAGCCCAGGCACTGTGGGGCAGTTCAAGTAAAACACACATAAGTGCACATGTATGATAAGAGAAACATACAGTCAGCTGCAAAACAGAAAAATACTCAGAAATTGAATGCAGTGAATGGACAACAATGGTTCCATTGTCTTGAACCCTGTGCTGAAGAATGAAATATTAATCTTTTACATTTACAGACTGGATTGCTACCCAGGAGCTTGTGTAAATTTCTCACTTCTGCAGCCAGTGAGTCACACATTCATAAAGCATGAGCAAACATGACATTAACATTGGTGGTTTCCAGCTTCACAGGAAGACAGAATGGTGTAATAGAAAAAAGTCAGCTGCTGCCCTGAGGACAAAAACCCCTTGTTGATGAGAGATGAACAAGTACCAAATAGCTCAGCTACTGTGAATCATGACCACCAAAACAAACCCATGGAAAAAGTAAAACAATGCAATTAACTACTGAGTGTATGACACTGTCTTTGACCTATTTAAAACCCGCTCATCAAATACATACAAGAGTGGGAAGCTGTTGGCCACGGCGTACACGACAGGACATGAGAAAGCATAAAGTTGCAGCAGGACAGAGGGCAGACTCAGACCGTCTGCACTTCCTCTCCACAGTATCTTCAGCAGCTGAGGTAACTGTGCTGCAGGGAGACAGCACACACGGAGGTGAGGATGGAGGAGGTTAGCATCAATATGTAAACTATGAATAACACCAATCAATAAAACATTGTTATTCACATGAAGAATGAATTAGTTAGCATATCTGTGAATCTGAGGCTGAGCAACTGCCAGTAAGACTAAAACCAACACTAGCTTCTTATTTATAACTGATCCAAAACACATAATACTGTAAAATAACTTATAAATTACCAGATTAAATTTCATTGCATTTCCCATGAACAAGTGGAAATATCTGTACCTCTGCATAAACAACTTTTTAATACTGTGGTTTGGTTGTCATGTCATGTCACTAGAGCACTGAAAGGTTCTTGTTAGAATTTTAAATCCTAATCTGATCCTTGTGTTGACAATATCCAATCAATAAAGGTTAATGAATCACTATATTGTTCATGAAATAATATGAGTGATGAAAGAAGGGGATATATAACATTTCTTTCTTGTAGTCTTCTTTAAAAATCCCCCATGTGAGTATGTCAGGAGTGCAAACTGTTATCAGTTAGTTGTTAGTGTCCTGCTGCTTCACATGATTGAATCAGATAGAGGTTTGGGCTGAGGAGAAATCTTACCCAGGAATGTGTCCAGTATGATCCAAAATACGGCAGTTTTGTTCAGTACAAACTTTAGGCACGGCACTGTGGCATACATGAAAAATGTTAAAACAATCAGACCACAACAGATGTTTAACATCTGCAGTACTAGGCCGATGCCTATTGCTGAATAACATAGTGAAAGACCACTTCTGTGCCTAAACCGTGAAACAGAAATTTTTGTAAAACAGAATATATAGTATAATACCCTATGTGCACACCATAATATCAAAGTTTTAGGTTACAAATTAAGTTTGCAGTATTGCATAAGTGGGAGAGGGGAAAACATCTTCCACGCCCACGTCAACGCAAATCTGCGAAAAATTCTCGCAAACATTTCTCCCGCCCTCTCCCACATTGGAAGTAGCTCACCGTGCAAGTGAAAGTTGACGAAAAACTCCTCATAGCATTTTTCTGGCATTAAATGTGTAACCAGGAAGTCTTTGACGGGACACGTTGCCATAGTACGGTCAGTTGCGGCCAGGAGGGATCCTCGGTGGCTCAAAGGTGGTTCAAAGGTTCCCCAATATTTGTGAAGAGGACACAGAGCCTGGACTCTTCACTGCTACACTAGAGGGTCTTCCTGCGGTGTCCGGAAGTCCACAGTCACGTAAGTCTACTCTTGTTGGAAAAGTTGGTTTCCCTGTGGATATTCACAGGCAAATACTACACTGATACATTTGAAATTTCATGGTTCTGCTATTTTAAAATCTCCTCTAGACAGGTTTTTTTTCCCCAGCAGCAGAGACAATTCTGACCAGTTTACAAATACAGAGAGGTCCATGAAGAAAACCTGTTCCATACTGCACACAACCTGGGATTGGGACAACGATTCACCTTTCAGCATGACAGTGACCCAAAGCATAAAGCTGGAGTGGCCTCTGACTGTCCTTGAGTGGCCCAGCCAAAGCTCAGACTTAAACACCATAGCACATCTGTGGACAGACCTGAAACTGGCAGCTCACAGACACTTCCCATCCAGGGTGATGCATTAATTAATTGCAGGTTTTAATAAATTACTTTTTGTACAAGTGTAAAAAACGAGAGAGAGAATGTAACTGCATCAAGATAAAATATCTTCTATAACACCATCTGTCTCCACACCCTACACATCTTGACAGATTTATTCCAACACTTTTCAAACTATGAATCTTCACAGCAACCACCATCACTTTGCCATGCATCAAGTAAAGTTGGCATAACATTTCCTGACAACTATTTTCTGGCATTAAATAGTAGAAAGAAGTAACTCTTTTATGTGGTAAAATAGACAGTAGGCTTCACAAAAATTATAGACAATTTCCATGTTTTCATGAGTTTGCATCTCTTGTTTGGCAATTGTGAATACAACTTAATGAGTTATAGATTGACTGAAGACCTTGATTATCTTCTAGTGTAATGTTAAATTCAAAACATGCATTTAAAAACTGAACATTTAAATAAGTCTAAAGTTTACCAAATTAAAAGTATTGTTTTTTATGGGTAGAAAGCCTACTGGATTAAAATTACTCAGGCAAGTACAATTCACAACAACAAAGTGCATGTCAGTCCCCTAATCACTTAGTTACATCTCCCACATCAATTTCACCATCATTAATGGTATTCAGCCGCCAATGCAAATACATTTCTCTTTTTTTGGTCTGGCGGGGCTCCTCTTCTCTGAAAACAGGAAGGATTTGAATGAATACCATCTTGAACAAGAGGTTTTTACAGCAGTTTGTTCATTCTCTCTCTGACAACATGTGTAGTGGAAAATGCTCCCGTTGCATTGCTGGTACTCTGTACCCATTAATACTCCTGTCCATCATCTGTAACATTGTGTTGTTCTTTCCTGGCTGGGACATCAAGTATGTCAAAAATGGACATATTACTGAGGAGGTGAAATATATGGGGGGAATCATCGGCGGGGGGATACTGGTGAGTTGTCTTTTCTCCTGCCTGTTACTGACGAACATGACTCTGGAGTAAAAGCCACCGTAAAATTTGTCTCTGAAATGTAATGTGCAGCCTCAGGTAAAACTGTGTATTGTTTTTGTTTTTTTCGTTTGCAGTGGTCATCTTTCCTGCTCTAATTTTGTGCTTCAGGGTGAAAGATCTGTGATTCTCTTGATCTCACAAAAACTTGATACTGATCTATGACACTATTATGAGGCACATTTCATCACAACTGAAGCAACATCTCTAATTTTAAATGACACGACTGGCGCAGTTTGAAAAGGTCCACAAAACCTGAAGACTGACTCCTGGAAAGTTTCCCAAGCACAGAATTGTCTCAACTAAACTTATGAACTATTTTGAACATATTTTAAACTGATATTGATAATTTCCTTGTTATTACAGATGTTGTTCCCAGCATTTTACATCCAACTGACTGGAGAGCAGGGGTGCTGTGGGAATCGCTTCGGGGTGAGTCATTCACAAGTAGCCTTTTCAGTTGCTCAGCAAAAGATAAAGGAAAAGGTCGGCAAGCTAGTAAGAGCACCTTGAGCAAATTATTTTATCAAACTATTATTTTTAAGGACACACTGTAATGGACACCAGTCAAGCTGAGAAATACTCTCATAAAAAAAGAAACATGCTGAGTAGTGCTGCATCACTTCACAACATTTAAGTCCTCTTGAGATAGATAATGGACAACCACAGCACAGTGCAGTTCTCCTTTTTTCTTTTCAAAAAGACCATTTATTTATAGGATCAAGACCCATGCAAGAGGCTTACTGAAATGCATTTTAAACTTGAAACATACTGATTATCATCTTAAAATATTTTGAATGACATAAAATTTAGAAAAAGTTTTAGAAAAGTTTTTTCATTCATTTGAATTTTTCTTTTTAAAGGTTATTAGTCATAATAACACTGTCGGATGTCGTATGCAATACGCCACTAGTTTAAACAGTAAATACAAATGGTAGATTTACAGTGCCTAAATTAACTCCTTTTTACGCGTACACTTACTGTGTTAAACTAAATGAAAAACTTACATTACGTATTTATATGTAACTTATATTACACTGTATTATAAGACAATTATTTAATTTTTTGTCATTAATAACTGAATAGGTAATTCTTATAACATCAGTGAATGTTAATTATGAAACAGTGAATTATACATAAACTGAAATACATATAGTGATGTCTATTGTTTTTCACTGAATTACTTTCTTTGATTTCGATTCATTTAGCCATTGTAAATCGTCCATAATATGCAGGTGAGAACCTACTATAATAGAAAGTCCTCAGTAGAAATTATCTGCACTTTTTAATTTATGTAAAATGAATTGAGGCCAGCCTTTAGTCTGTCTTGTTGGTGTTGGGAAAATAAAATACACTACAGTACAACAGAAGAATGAGGAAGGTGATAAGAGATACATATTTCCTTAAACTCATAAATAATTAATTCATCAATAACTTTAAAAATATGTTAGGAGTAAAAGGGTAAAATATTGAGCATGGCTAAGAATCCAGTGTTAATAGACAATGTCTAACAGTGCATTAAAATGTTTCTGACCTTCCGTTCTCTTTTGACTTCTGCAGATGTTCTTATCGATTATATTCACTGCAGTGGGTGTGACTGGTGCCCTGTACAGTTTCACTGTGGCAGTGTCTGGTCTGGGTAATGGGCCCCTCTGCAAAATCAATAGCACATGGACAACACCTTTCAAAAACAGGTGACAGATCATCATTTTGTACAATAATTTTTCTGATGACATTTGTTCACATCATGAAGTTCTGGTCCTTTTAAAGCCTCTTCTTTTACATAGTACCTTCACCTACCTGACTGGCAATAAGTACTGGCAAGAATGCACAGAGCCCAAGAACGTGGTGCAGTTCAACATGGGACTGTTCATTACTCTGATAGCAGCCAGCTGTCTGCAGGGGTTACTCTGTGCCATTCAGATGATCAACGGCCTCTTTGGCTGCCTGTGTGGAATATGCAACAACAAAGGGGTAAAGACTTAGAGGTCTAAGAGGTCATACGTTGCTTTTCCATGTTGTCGGGATGTCTGAATCCAGACATTTCTTGCCCTTAACTTAAGTTCAACTCTCTTTTATCTTATACTATTTTATTGTTTATTTTGTGTTTGCTTTTTAACTTACAGGCACTTTAACTTCCTGCTCAGGAGGCCTCTGATCATTTGCATTTGTCATACCACATCTGTAAAGGTGACTGGTGCTACCAGCTGGAGGCTAAGAGCAGTGTTCCTGGCTGCATCTGTATAAAATTATTGCATTGAAGTTGCTGTTGTCTCTGATAACAGATTTTGCATTTTTTATTGTAGTGATGCTTTACACTGCAGTGTATTATGGTATGTTGTGAGAAGAATTAAAAACAATTCATGCTAATTGTATGGTCAATCTGAAATAAACTGCTTTAAAATATAAGGTGCTGGGGCATCATGTGACGTAGTGGTCTAAGCAGGCACCCCATGTGTAGAGGCTACAGTCCTCGCTGCCGTTGGCCCCGGTTCGCCTCCTGCTTCGGACGGCCTTTGCTGCATGTCATTCCCCCTCTCTCGGCTTCCCCATTTCCTGTCTCTCTCAACTGCACTATCAATAAAGGCATAAAAAAGCCCAAAAAATAAAAAAAAAATAATAAGGTGCCGATCCACCGCTACATTACAACGTTTTGTTTTATCATTCATATAAATATCTGCCTTATTGTGCCTTACTGTCAAAACAATATATACCTGGATTCCCACAAGCAATTGCTAAATACAGGACAAAGTTCTTCTTTTCATTTTACTCACCACTGATACTGATATAAATGTTTCAGTGTCATATAAACTTACTGATGCATATCTGACTCTTGGTCCACTTGTAGGGAGGCCAGTAAGTTAGACATCAAAAGTAGCTTCTAATGTATGAGAAGGTTACCATATATATTGTATAATAATTTTTCCTCACATGGCTTCAAATGAAACAAGTAGGCGGTCCCTCAGAGTCCCCATAGGCAACTGCCACGGAAATCATAACTGAAACCTAATAATTATTATTTATGTCTTTATTTCATTTCCACACAGGTCAATGGAGAATTAATTCTCTATTTATTTATTTATTTATTCATGTTTATGTGGTTGTTTTTCAAGAGTAAAAGCAAACATCAAACTGCTTAAGAAAAGGCTGCTCGGCTTAGATTGGTCCAGAATCAAAGTAAAATTAGATATAATTCAGGTGATAAGAGAGAATAAAAGCAATAGTCCTAACCTCATCAAGAATGAAGAATTTGCCTTAGATCTCTTCTTCTAAATATCTTGTGTTATCCTTATCACGGCATGTTTTCAATGAGTGAGAACAGGATACAAACCTGGAATCAAAAAAGGCCATAATCTTAGTGAGTGTGCACTGGAATAACTAACAATTTAAAACAATACTATTTCCCCTCCCCTTGTGGGAGGAAGGAAACTCCAAGTCACTGGTATGTGTTCTATCTATATCATAACTCGAGTTCACACTGCCTCACCCAAGTGTTGCTAGGAAACATCAAATGTTTTGGATTGCTTTTTTTTTTATTTCATATTGTCTTCAATTTACTGATACGGTGAGGAAACAACTGCAGACAACTGCTCACTAGAAACTAAAAAATGTAGCCCAGTGTCTGGTTAGTGTTTAACTACCAACAATGTGTAGATGTCAATGACACATTGTTCTTGCTCCACTTAGCAAGCTGCCACAGGTCTAAAGTCCAACCGTGCTGTGATCCTGGAGTCACAATGTAAATACATCACCAGTATACTTTATGCAGTAGGTGGAGATAAAACATGTCTCTCACACTGAATCTTTGCTTTCTTAATGACAATTTAGTAACACTTAATATTTTATAGCAAGATAAAAGAAAGTAAGATTTAACTACAATAAGCATTCTGGAGATCTGTTTACTAAACTAAACATTAGATTACATGAGTGGTATAGCTGTCAACATTTCTGCCACAGATGACCTAAATGCATTCACATCTGTAACCAAAAAAATGTGCATCTTCACATTATCTTTAATAACTGGAACAAAGGAAGCGCTGTCTCTTGGAAATACCATGGAATGAGTCACATTTACTCATGCAGCCTATCCCAGGCTCTGTTTGCCCATGTTATCTGCGAGTTATTACACCTCCCACACCCTAACATCACTCACAGCATTTGGCTTCTGCTTGGTCAGAATACATTTCCTTCTTAAGTTAACTTTCAGGACTTCACGAACGAGTGGTTTTACAGTACCAGTTAGGTGGTTCTTCTCTGACAACATGTGCACTGGAAAATGCTCCCGTTGCATTGCTGTTACTCTGTACCCATTAGCGGTCATATCCATCATCTGTAACATTGTGTTGTTCTTTCCTGGTGGAGACATCAAGTATGCGAAAGATGGACATATTACTGAGGAGGTGAAATACATGGGGGGTCTCGTTGGAGGGGGCATAATGGTGAGTTGTCATTTCTCCTGCCTGTTGCATGACTCTGGACTATATGCCTCATAAAAATTTTATTTTTATATGCAAATTTAAAACTCAAAAATACTGGCTTTACATGATATGCTGGGTTTACTGGGTTTTAACTGCTGTGTAGTGGTCATCTCGCTTGTTCTGAGTCCTAGTTTTGTGCTTCAAGATCTATTTTGTGCTGCATTATAATCTCATGAAACACATCTAAATCTCACGGAATCAAAGCCGTTTGAAGAGTTCTTCAAAATCTGCCTGGAAACTGACTTCACAATGTCTCTTTTATCATATTCTACAAGCTTTGAGTTACCAAGATTTGGTGAAAATGCTCAGTTTCTGTAAACTATATTGACTATTAACTACTGTCAACCCATCTGTCCTGCTACAGGTGTTGATCCCAGCACTTTATATCCACTTGACTGGACAAAAGGGGTGCTGTGGGAATCGCTGTGGGGTGAGTCAGTCAGAACTACAAATAGGACATTTCAGGTGCTCAGTAATTGTAGTGAATTGAAGTGCTTAACTATATAACCTACACGCTGTGTTGTATATAGAAGTAAGAACGAAAAGTAAATTTGAATTCTGTATATTCTCAGGGAACAGTCCAATTCAATTCAGAGGCGGAAATAGAAATAGTTGAGGGACAGACTTGTTTGTGTAGACGCACAATGTGATGGGAATGTGTTAACACATTAAAATAAAACTTAAGAAAATGTCTTTTGTAATTGTATTGTTCAAGCTTCCTCTGCAAAGTTACATCTAAAGAAAAGTCACACTGAGTTTACGACTTATAAAATAAAAAAATATAAATATTCTGCATGGTGTTACATCACTAAACAATTGCACAACATTGAGAGACATCACAGACTTTAAGAAATCATGAAACCATTAGTACAGATGTGAAAAATGTTTATGCCTGTGTGATTTAGCTTTAGCACTAGGAAAACCAAAACACAGATTGGGAAAGTAAACATGTCAAAGTGTAAGAGGTAAAACAAATCTCAGTGGATGACTGAGAGCCTGTTCCTCCCTCAACTCATAAATACCTCATTTATCAAGAGCATAAATAAATCTGACAACTGTTTATCTTTTATCTCTTTATCTTTTCGCCTCTGCAGATGTTCTTATCAATTGCATTCGCTGCAGTGGGTGTGGCCGGTGCCCTGTATAGTTTCACTGTGGCAGTGCTCGGTTTGCAGAACGGGCCCCTCTGCAAAGTCTTTGTGGTTTGGAAAATGCCTTTTAAAAACAGGTGACACAAAGAAGTAACTTTCTGATGACAGTGTGAAAGGCTCCTCAAGACCTGATCATTCATCAACCTTTACTTTCTCATAGTGACTACAATTACCTGACTGATGATACACGGTGGAGAGTCTGCACAGAGCCCGAGAACATTGTCCAGTTCAACATTGGATTGTTCGGTACTCTGCTGGCCACAAGCTGTCTGCAGGTGATTCTCTGTGCGATTCAGATGATCAACGGGCTCTTTGGCTGCCTGTGTGGAACCTGCAGCAACAAAGGGGTAAGATGAAGCTGAGCTGATATCTCAACAGGAATAAGTAGAAATGAGAACACTGTCAGTTTTCATTGTTAATGTTAATCTGTTTTATTTACGATTTCTCAAATATGTTGTTGTGGTGTTGTTTTTACTTACAGCCACTGTGAGTTCCTGACAGTTGACTGGGGCCCCCTGCTGGAAGACTGAGGGTAGTCTTCCTGTCTGTATAAAACATTTGGTTAGAAATTGTAGCCATCTCTGTTTGACAAGATTTTTATATTTTTGTGGGTATGTCATGATGCTTCAAACTCTGTTAAATTAACCAACACAGAAAATAAACTGCTACTTTTATTGTACTTAAAATAAAATCCAGGACAAGGTTCATTGAGACCTTTAATACAGTTTGTATAATTACAATGAATATCAGGATTGACATCAATACAAATATTTGAGTCCCATCTGATTAAAATATCTACATTTCTCAAATGAAATTACAGGAATTACAGGAATATGACTGAGAATTCTGAATTATGAACTACTAAGAAAAAAAATCCTGCCCATGGAACGCAGAGTGAAAATGGCACATAAGACGAGGCAGCTGATATTTTCTGACTGAATTGTACATGACAATAAAGGTTATACAACAAAAAAGGCAAAATGTAGTGATTTAAAAAGGCAAACAATGGGTCCCAAAACAGTGTAGACTTCATTATAATAACTGCAAGAGGAGAGGAATAAAACATGGTGAAACAAAAAGAGTCAGTATGACACCCTCAGTTTAAGATGTACACAAGTCCAGGGTGACTTCTCATAAGCTACTGCTCATCATTGGGACAATGACATAAACATTTTCAGGGTCAACTTTAAAACACTTGCCTTTCAAGGCAGATCAAACCTGACACTTTGCTCAATGCTTTTTAAAAAATAAAGCCACTCAATGTGAAAAGTAAGCAAATATTTTAGGATATTCATGAGCAGATTTGGATTTTATTGTGACCATTCCTAAACAAAGCAGCATGTGATCCAAAACTGAGGTGCATACTTTGCTCTGAAACTTGCTCTGAAAATAATTCACAACATATTTTAGGAAAGTTGAAATTAATTTGTATATGTCACTTCACATTTTCACATAAACTCTTCATGTAGTGAGATTAAGTAAGGTTTTAAGATTTTGTGCATTAAGATAATTAACTCACAGCCTAATAGAGAACTTCTATTTTTCATGTATCTGCGTACAGAGCAAGTAAAGAATGATTTGAAATGACTGTCAGACAAACGTTTCTGTTCGGATACGACCTTGTTGAGGTAGACATAAAATAATAAACTGGAGTGTTGACATTCCCTCATAAAGAGGCTGGTTGCTCAGTACTGTACTACAAATGTTTTTCTCATATACTGAATGATGGCGACAGCATTTTTAGAGTGTTAAAAACAAACAATACTCAGATCTAAAAATACATTTATGTTAGGTGTTAAAAGATGTAAACACTATGTCGAACTTTTTTTTTTTTTATGTTAAAAAGAGATGGAGTGTGTCAGTTTAACAAAGTTTAACAAAAGCAGGAAATGGCAAAAACCAGATCCTACACATAAGCTTCAAAGCTTCAACTGGAGTTCTGATGAGGTTATATGGCTATAATAATACTTCACCGCTCCTTCATTTGTTTTTGTGCATATGGTTCCTTTCAGTTGTCAAACTGCTTCATCATAAGCTTCCGGCTGGCCTCATAACCCAGAAACAGTGCGCCGTTAGCAGGGAAGGTACGGACCATGGTGGGGGTAAGACCAGAGTAGAGTGCCCTCACGCCTAAACACAAAAAATAGCAAACATTACATAATGGAAACAGCAGGACTCTTGATTGTTTTTCACAAAAATGCATCACTTTACCTACCTTCACTACGAGCAATGGTCATGAAGGTTTTGAAAAATCCTGCCTGTTTGCCCATCATTGACATGACCTGGATCCGAGACTTGACACAGTCCATAGGATACACCACCAGCCACAGACACGCCCCTCCGAAACCACCGCTGAACACAATCGGAGCCACACCTTCAACATATACAGGAACACCCGTTAGACGACAACTCAGTGATACTGGACATGAAATGTGTGGGAGGTGAAAGCAAATTGATTCTGAGGAGCTGACATTTGAAGTTGACGTTTTCAGCAAAAGGCAAATGTTTTCTGCCCTGTGGTAATGCAGGCAGAACATTTTTTTCCAGTACCTATGTCATCCTTGTCACATTTCATGTAGTCTGCAAAGGTGGTGCGGCAGAGCTCATAGGCACCGAAGAAGCAGAAGTACCCAGGAACCTCTCTGGCTATGGTGGTGGTCAGGCCCTGGAAAAACCCCACTGGTCCCTCGTTCCTCATGATGGATTTCACCACAGACCACACTGTGCTTCAGACAGAGCAGAAAGAAGTATGGCTCAGTCAATGCACACACAACAAAAAATATTTACAGATTAATGTTTCCCCAAAAGAAAAAAAAAAAAGAATTTTCTTGATTTAATTAATGAAACACTAGATCAAATAAATTTTACCATTTTGGATTTGTTTTCAGGTTGGTAAAATATTGAGATTTCTTAAGATTCATGTCTCTGAATCTGTTGCCACTTCTCGCTTCTTCTCTTTTTTTTTTAAAAGCACAATGTAAAAAAACACAAAAATGACAATGGCAAATAAGTAATCTACAGTATGTAACAAAAAATTATAGCTATTGAATGTCAGTCTTTTGAGTTTATGTTCTTAAATATTGAGTTACACTGTGTATATATTTTATTTAAACTCTTTAAATTTGCATAATGGTAAATTAGCTGTACTAATAAACTGTTCAACATATAAACCAAGTCATCTTTTCAGCAAAATTTAAGCTCCTAGATATTAAGTTCAACGTATCTTTAATATCCCTTACAGGGAAACTGGTTTGCAGCCAGGATACATTACACCAAAACACTCACATAGATCAACAAACAACCTGACATGATGGCTAGAGTAAAATAAATGAGTTCATTTGGCATCAAGGTGAAAGTGCAGTACTCAAGTAAGCAGTCTGTGGAAATACACGCTCTGCAGACAACAGTAAAATACGACCTTTAAAACTTACATCTCTGACTCCTCCCTGACATCTAATACAAGCCACTTTGATAAGGCTACTGAGCCGATTGTTGTTGGCCAGAGTCATAAGTGGTCATATATGTAATGTATAACATTTGAGTAACATAAGAGTAAATAACCTATACAACCTTACCCAAAAATGTGTGACTATTTAAAAACCACTTACTTCTGGCTCTTAGCGATCTTGCCTGATGCCTCCATTTCATACATGGCTTGCAGCCGACACTTGACAAGCTCGGTGGGGCAGAGTACTAGCGAGGAGAAGATGGATGCTACTGAGCCAGCACAGGCTTTCTGCATGTCACTAACAGAAAGGGAAGGATAAACAGAAGAACAGTTAGAGACTGTCTGACATGTATTAACAAGTGCTAACAAGAACAACAGCATGGTTAACATCATCACACCTCAGCACAGCTTCGTTGTGCAGCCCAGCTGTGAAGCGGATGACCTGCTGGCAGAAGCCGTAGCTCATGAAGAGCACAGAGTTCTCTGCGATGTTGGCCATCAGCGCCGGCGTGGTGCCCTGGTAGAGACCACGAAGACCCACTTGTTTGTAGGTGGACACAATGCAGTGGATGAAACCACGGTACAGCATAGGGAAAGTCTGCATCTTGACCTTTGCTGTGTCCAGAGGCTGCCCACTGAAGACACATGCAGCTCCCCCTTGGATGACAGTGAAAAAATTGTCAAACATATGTGATCCATAAATAGACACAGTAAACAAATGTTAAAAAGACTGGCTGTTACACATTCTATAGGAAAATCAAAGTTTGTGCTCAATATATGTGCTGTGGACAGAGATAAGAATAATAGAGGGCTTTACAGGGGGTTGCGCTCCACTGAGCAGTATAAACAGTCAATAGAAACACAGAGAGAAACAAGCCGGAAAAAGACAGGAGTCATCAAAATGTCCTGCTACGTCAGACATGGCTACTGAGTTGTTTAGTAAAGAAGCAGAAAAGCAGCGTGATTACCTCATAAAGATTAAGGAGAAGGATGTTTTTATTGTCATTACAGAACATGTTGTACATGAAACGGAATGAAATTAAGTTCTCAGGTCCCAGTTCAGGAGATAGCGATAATGAATTAAAGAACAATAAAGACCAGTGCCCGGTGTACACCGTTTGTTTAAGCACTGAATTACCTATGGCTCCTGCAGAGAGGTCAATGATGGCCTGGACCACCGGGTGTGGGGCCATGGTGTCCAAAAAGTTGTCAGAAGAGGTTACTCTTTCTTTCAACTACCTGGTGAAAAAAATACACATAATGACACTTCACCTCCTAATTCTACTCACAACATACATTGCTACATCTTATTAGCGCACTTTAATCACTATAAACAAACACAAAATATAAGCAATCATTTGCTTCTCCAAATACTCCTCAGAGACAGTTAATATGTGTATATCTCAGCAGCTGGATCAGCTCAGGACAGGCAGCAGCAGCTAGGTCGTAAACTTCACCACAATAAAACTTGCTCTCATCTGTGGCATCAGTGATTATTTACAGGAAGGTTAAACATTGGTTTGTATGGTAACATTATAACTGTCATGTTTACTGAAATGCAAAGGTAGAGGTAACTTTGTGGCTAAAAACACAACCATTACATAATACAAATGACAAGTTTGCAAAAAACAGAAAGTGGACAATTGGGGGAAGAAAAGCAAAATTTTCTTCTTATTATTTTCCTATTTTATTTTGTAACTTCGAATATCTCTTAGCTGAAACATCACTAGCTTATCTGTGCCTTCTCAGCCCTTTGAGATAGTAAAGGTTACGAACTACAAGGCTGTTCAGTCTAAAAACGCTCTTTTTACTTTCAAGTTGGCAGTGTGTTTGTGGTTATGTCAATTTTGGTGTTTTGACTTCCACTTAACTCAATCATCAGTAGCAGTATGTTCACTTGTGCTCTGCCAATTCTGATGTAACGTTGGTATTTCTACGTTTAAAGCTTACTACTTACCACCAGAGGGTGACAAAATGCTATTCTTTGTGCACAAATTAACCATCTTTTAGTTATCAAATCAGCTGAAGGACATGTGAGCTTGTACCGTCGCGTGTGGACTTAAAATGAGAGTAAAATGTCAAACAACGTTTCCCTGTGAGAGGTAACTTACGTGGTTAAATGTAGCAACAATATCCTAACAATATTCATTAAGTGAATTAATGGTGGATGTAAACCGGTCGAAAGTTGTGGGTTTCTTTTTAGCCAATGTTAACTTTACAAGTCAAAAAGCTAAAGAGATAAACCTATAGTAATAATTTCAGCATACAAACCTTACAGGAGTGCGACGTGTTCAGCCAGTGGCATCAGAGTGTCGCCGCCGATGAACCCAGTGAGCTGCTGACCGAAGCTAATGGGTGACTGCATGCTAACTGACACCACCAGGCCAAATATCCAATGTTTAATGTTATCTCATTTGCAGCATCTACCCTTGTGTCCACACACTGTGGTCAATGAATGGATCGGCCATCAGTGATAATGATATGGAGGAGGGGAATCTAGAGGTTGTTGCATGAGAGAAGGATAAAGGGAGAGCTCCCACTCTGCTCGAAATTCGCGTTGCTAGCATAGTCTGGCTATAAAAAAAAACTGATGAAAAAATGATGATTTTGCTCTTGATGTACGTTTACATATCGTAGAATTGTACACTGGACATTGTGTACTTAATATTATTAATAATCTACCCTTATCGAATACAATTAAAAATCTTTAATTTACTAACATTTGCAGGCTGTTGGGAAGAATTAAGAAACCATTGCTGTCCTTTTCCCCTCAATTTGCCTCGATTAGATAACATTGTAGTACCTGTTACATAAAGTGTAAGCTACAGATAATTATTTTTCGTTGGGCTTTATCGCCTGTTGTTAAAATATACAAATAAATGTTCAAATAGAATGATATTCAGATGTAAGCAGTGAGTCATCTTTTCCATATAAGATCTATGCTATACAGCGGTACGAGCTTCCGGTTTACATTCTTCTTCTTCTTCTACTCAGCCTACGTCGCCTTCTTTGAGTTTTAATGGTGGTTATAAAACCAGCGTATAGGGACCTTACTGCCACCTACTGAAATGGAGTATGGAGCAGTTTAGCAGGAAAAAACCCAATTAAATTCTGTCTATTATTCCTGTTACACTTAAGTAATTAATCAGTAGATGAGTATTTTCCATAAGGTATTTCCTAGCAGAATCTCCCATGTAATATTGTGTTTTCGATCATTTAGTGATATTAATTTCCTTCTTTCTTCATCATACCTGTTGCAATCAATCAGTAACTTACATGTTTGAAAGTTTATGGTTAATTACAGTGTGTATATAGTCCATTTGGGTGTTTGCCTATTCTGTGGAGCGTTTGATTTAAACCTGTTTGTTCTTTTCTCAGACAGCCAGACATCTCTTCCTTTTGAGTCCAGCCTCATATTCCATCAATGCCTACATGTTTTTGGATACTGTAAAGATGTCTTCCTGTGTCAATTAATTCCCATTATTCCTGCAAGTTTTTTTTGTTGCATATAATCCTTTACGATATTTATAACCTCTGCTTTACTTAACATTATGTCAGTTAACATTAGTTTTAATAAGTGTTTAGCCAATGCCAGTGTCTAGCTTCTCATTTCCTTCCAGCCCTATATGAACAGGAACCCAAAGAAGGGAGATATCCAATCCCCTATAATGTAGCCCAAGTAGCACATGAAAGGTTTGATACATAATATCCTGCCTGTGTGACGACTTTCCAGACTTACTGCTTGAAAGCGCTGACAAGCTATCAGAAGCAATTATGACACCGAGTTGGTTATTTGCTTCCATCCATTGTAATGCTAATAATATTCCGTGTAATTCAACTGTGTACTGAAAGATGGTCTGATACTTTCTTTATCATGGCTACCTCACAATGAGGGATGAAGAATGCAGCACCTGTGCACCCAGACTCTTTTTTAACCACCTGTAAATATGAATATCTTGGTGTTTGGTACCAGTTTAGGTTCTCTCTCTTTGCTACAGACTAGTATCTATGGATGTATAACGAATCTCCTAAGAGTTACCCCTGATGATGGAACAGTTGGTCTTAGTTTTAGATTACATCATGTCATTTCCTTTTAGCATCCCTATCCACCCAAAACTGCAGAAACTGGACTTATTATGCTCCCACCAATCCTGTAAAATGACATTAGTGGGGTTTGATCTACTATGTCTTTGCAGATTAACACAATTTCCATCATTCCAATTTACATTGCAGATATGTTTTAAATGCTCCACTGCAAATTTGAAGAGCTTGAGTGTGTTCAACGTTAAAGTTTTTAAGGTTGGTTTATGCTGTAGATGTGCATCCATAATCTATGACTGCTCTCACGAGAGCCCAATAAATATTTAATAAAGATGTCCTGTTTGTTCCCCAATCTCGCCCTGATAGACATTGTGGTATATTGTTGATCTTTTTGCTTTTGTTTTTCCTTTTGTCAATATCTCGATACCATGTAAGTTTGGCATCCAGCAGAACTCCAAGAAATCTAACCAACTTAACCTGTTTACGTACTTTTCCATATAGTTTCACACGTGCTGATTTATGGCCTTCAGTGAGGCATATGCCTTGTGATTTTGCAATTGACAGTTTGAATCCCCATTTGTTTGTCCATTCTTCCACTTTATCTATTGCAGCTTGCATTTTGTTTTTAAATACTCTAGGTTTCGCCTCCTGATCCATTGAACCCCGTCATCAGCATTAAGTGATTTTCCTATATTCTGCTCAACCTGTTCAAAGATGTCATTAGTCATTATGTCAAATAACAGTGGACTGCACACAGGGTTCCATTATCTTACGAATACACACTGAAATATTCCACTTTTACTTCCTTTGTCCTCCCAAATATAAAAACTAGGTGTTTTTATATTAGGGAGCTGTACAGCTTACCATTTACACCTAATTTATAAAGTTTGATAAGGAGTCCCTCTTTCCATAGCATGTTATATACTTTTCCAACATAAAAAAAAACAACAGCAATCATCTTTTCTTTATTAGTTTGAGTTTTCCTCACTATGGTCTTCCCTAACTGTGATGGATCTATAGTTTGTTGGATTAGATGAATCTTTACCTGGTTTTTGTATTGGAGCCATAACTGGCTGCTTCCATATCTATGGGATTATGCTTGTATCCTATTTCATGTTAAACAATCTTAATTCCGCTTCAGGTGCGCTGTCTTTCATATGAGCTAACATGCTGTAAGCGATACCATCTTTCCCTGGTGTGGTTAGCCGTCTCCATAATTCAAATCGAATGGTAAATCTCGGTTTTCCCCTGATGTAGCCCTTCTTTCTGCAACTCCTAGGTTTTGTACAAGAGTATTGTCTCTGCACTGCTTAGCTTTTAAAGAAATATTTTCTGAGCTGTGGATCTTCACAGATGTCTTTGCTAGAAGTTTTCTAACCTACATTACCAATTGCATTTATACTGTGCAGCACTGGTATTTCAAAGTTGTTCATTATGCCATTCATTTCCCTAATCATTCCCAATATGTCTGACAGATGTGTGTCTCCAGTATGCTTGTTTGCTGATCTAACTGTTTTCCTACCACACCTTTGCTTGCCTTTGCAGATTGCTGCTACATGGCCATATTTTTGACACTGTGGTGAAACCTCACCAATGCTACATACTGTATACTTCACATTGTTGTCCAGGCTCATGGAATTTGACCATGACAGATTGTCATGGTCAAATTCACCATCTTTCGCACCACCTACTTCAATTCCCTCAATCTCACTTTCTGATCCATCACTTCCCTCGGCCATCTCCTGTCCATTCAAAGTCTAGTTGTCACCACAATGCTGTTGGGAGAAGTTTACCTTCAGGGCTTTCTGTCAGAAAGCCTTGGTGGCAGAAAGAAAAATCTTTGTGGCTTCAGTTTTCAGTCGCAGTTTGATTTCAGTTAAGGCAAAACAACTTGGTTAGGTTTAGCAAAAGATCATGGTTTGGGTTAAAATAGACCTCTTCACAACTTTCACCATGTGGAAAGCCTTTCAAGCAGAAAGCCTTGAAGGCAAACTTTTCCCACGTGCCGCCGCAAACACCCCCAGTTAACATTCTTCTGTTATTCAAAATAACTCATCAAAAGGTGGAGGGATACAACACCCTGCTGGATGTCTTCTAGATCTTTTATTACATCCCAACCAAGGACATTATGTTGGTTTGCTTGTTGGTTTAAATGTTTCCACTCATTATGTGCATTTTGCTGCAAGCCCACATGCAGATTAAAAAGTTCAAAACACTTTTAGAGTATTGTGTGTCTCTGTAATTCCTTGTTTAGCAACAATCAGATTGGAAAACAAAACCCTAATGTTGGTTAATCCAGACTTTTAATAGACTGTAGAAGAGGAAGTTTACTTTGTTACAGCAACATCTAACAGTGCAGACTTAATTCCACATATACACAATATCCCTGCAGTTTTAAACTAACGAAACAAATTAACATATTTATAGATCTTGGCAAACAACAGCAGAGAAAATTAATGTTAGCATTAGCTAATTTACTCCATGTTGCATGGTTAAACCCAGAGGATAACTTCACTTTTGTTCACCTTCTTTCACATCGGTCTGACCCAACTCATAAACACTGACTAAAGGCCACTGTACATATGGGATGCAGTTTTTCTTTTACAGTGAGGCTAAAAGATCACACCAAGCCCTGTTTAATATTTACAAAAACCCAGCAGAGGCACTTATGAAATATTTAGCCAACAACTACATCACATATAATCCAAACATGTAATGTGTATAAATCAAGGAACTTTTCAGATTGTGCTGTTTGCGATTAGAGCTGCACTCAGAGTGCTGCACTCTCAACTTCATAAACAGCTTTGTGCATAATTACCTTGATGTATCATTAGGGGTGTCTGAAAGTACTTTCTCTTCCCTCCACCCTGCAGACAGTCTCCATTAAACTCATGCCTGCATGTGCTCAGTCAGTCGTAATGGCCAGTTCTTAAAACAACAGTGTTGTGTGCCACAAGAAGAGTCTTGATATATATATCCACTTTGTGATTTACTAAGCAAAGAAATGTAACACAGTGTGGTATGTTTTTGCACAAGCTGCCAAATAATAATGAATAGTCATCAGGTAAATGGGACAGATAATCCTTTGAAGGATCACAATTCCTTTGTATATTTATATTTTGACATACCTGAACAAAATACTGTGGAATAAAAAAACAGCTCAGTTTTTACTGCACTCTCACACTGTGAACCTTGTGGCTAAAGTTTGCTGTGGTGGTTTTGTTCTGTCATGCTAACATCCTCTTTGCTCTTGTCTTTTGCATTAAGCACCTGCATGCTAAAACACTGTTATGTTTACCTGCTGCAAACTGAGAATATTGTGGTTTGTAGTTGTACTGTAATCACACATAGGCTGTAGATTTTCATGGACGGAGTCTGTTTTCTTTTTATTGATAAAGATATTTGAACCTAGCCAGGTGATATT